GATTGGACGACGGTCCTTCAACCAGTGATATGGCTTATTATTTTCTGTAAAATATGCTATAACTATATCAATAAACATAAACATTTGCTGCTACCAATTCCTCATTTATTTCATTGTTGTCCTCTGTTCGAGTTGGAGCCAATCCAGTCCTGATCAATAAGGTACGGGTTCTCGTATTCCGATATTCAATACTATTCTGATTACCACATGTTTTGACTCTGTACGATGACATGCATGATCCGTCTTCCCATTTGTAGAGTATCATTTCATTATATTTCATATACAAATATGAGGCTTGAGACTAAGTTCACCGGATCATATATTCAGCTACATTGTGTGGTCTGATACGATGAAAATGTCCAATCGGAACTTTGTCAATCTGTGTGAAGCTTTCATTATTTGTGCCCCTTTTTATCTTTCTTCTCGGAATATCAGTTTACATGGAATTGTGCCAGTTTGGCCGCGGGCAGTGTAAAATCACTAACACAGCTGATTGTTCAAGGTCGTCTGCTCAACGGTCTGGCCTTAGTTCGTCCACCTGGACATCATGCAATGCACGCTGAAGCGTGTGGTTATTGCATTTTTAACAATGTGGCTGTCGCAGCCGCTTCCCTGTTGGCCTCCCCACCGAATGGACTCAGTGCTAGTTTGCCCAGTTCGATTGCACAATTGGTCGATCGTCCCCGATCTTGTAGAATTCGTGTTTCACGCTACGGAAATAGCGAAAGTGGACGGGTCGGTCTCGTGCCTCGAACCGGTCTCTCAGACAACGCTACGCATACAAATTCCAAGTCACCTGTCACGGTGTCTGCAACAGACACGTTGAAGTTAACGAGAGACGAAGTCACTGCCGGTTCAGGGTTGACACCGATACTGGAGCGCATTCTGATCGTGGACTGGGATGTACATCACGGTCAGGGGACACAGTATGCTTTCTATGAAGATAATCGGTATGTGATGAGAGTTGTGCATGCCCGTGTGTGCGTGTGTATGCCAGTTTATTCTTCCTTTATCTCCCCGCGCCGCCAACTCTTTCGGTTGGAGCGGAAGCGATCAATACGTATTCATACTTAAGGACTGCAGCTAAAACAAATTGCTACCTATGTGGACTCCTAGCTCAGATGGTAGAGCATGAGGTGTACAAAAAAGTAAGCGGCGTCCATGCGTGGGTTGGAATCCCACCGAGGCTATTGAACTCATCACAATATCAACATAACTCAAATTCTATCAGTTGAATCACAAACAAAACTTANCTGGTCGGTGTGTGTGTGTGTATGCGTGCGTGCGTGCGTGTAAATGCAAGCAGATATACATTTTCCAGTCTCTCTCAGTATGTATGCGAGTGAGAGAGAGGTTTCGAACTGACGAAGGCCTCGGTCATAATAAGTATGCTTAGCCATTGCTGGATTGGTTCATGGCTGGCGTGAAAGTCAGTTGTAATAGCCACCAGTTTATGAAATGTGATCAGTTCACAAAAAAATAGTTTATCAGTACAAAGTAAGCATATTGCGGTGAATAAATGATTATTGATCAACTTTGATAAACACAGCTATCGTGACCGTAAACATATGAACAAGTTCATGAATTGAATTCATATCACACATTTAAGCATGAGACGCAGAAGATCTCATTGATGCTAGAGGATTTACGAGTCGACATTATGAACGTTGTTTTAATTGATGCGTTCTAATCAGCGTACNNATCCGAGCACACACACACACACTATAAGATAACCACAGTCACAGTGATTATTCGATCGAACAACTGACCTTGATAGATGTGCTATGTATTGCCGATGGCTTATCCTTTACCAAATCATATTTGATCCACCCATTGTTTAGCTCCAAATACTCACAACAAGCATAAGAATAAATTGGGGTTTCTGTCTCTGCTTGAATGCAGAATTGTATTGCGCTAAATAAGGATTATATGAGTTGAGATGGAACGTTTGCTATACTATTCCAGTTAAGCGCTCTCTGGTAGTGCTCAATGTAACTCCTCTCCCTCTCCCTCTACTCTGCTTTCGATATTTTCAGAGTACTATACATATCCATCCATCGGTATGAAAAAGGAAGTTTTTGGCCAAATCTACGCGAGGCAAATTATGATTTTATAGGACATGGTGTAGGACTGGGATTCAACGTGAACATCCCACTGAATCAGGTTAGTATTTTCTTTATCCGGTGTTCCCGAGGCAACTTGACGACCATAGGGTCGGCTCGATCAACGGACATGGGGTCATCATTTGCTAATCTTTGGCTTTCGTTGAATAGAATGACGCAACAAGTGAAATTCATCACACGGAATTACAAGTGGAAAAAAAGCTACCCTTCTTTATATTTCCCATATTTTATGCGGGCGGAAGGTCAGTACACAGAGAAATATATAGAGTATATGATGAGTTCCATATGGCATAGACCAAATGAATCGTTAACTGAAAAGTTAGAAGGCAATAAAAAAGTGTTTCCATCGGATCTGGTCACACCAACAGTGCGAATTCAGGAGCCTAAATAACAAACTTACAGGTATAACACTACCCACTTAACCACAGAGCAGCTTATCAGACCGTCTTCCATTCATGCGGTTCGCGATGTAGCTCCACTGTTGCGCAACCAGTAGTTGGGTTGGAATATTTCCAACCGAGTCATAAACCTGCTGAGTTGCCTGAGGTGCGCAGGTAGGGTCAAGAACGCAAAAATGACTGGCGCAGCGTCGTGTACATCCCAAAAAGGGGAAGCGATAATCTGTTCGTTGCTCTAATGAGCACTATCCATACGTTCCATCCGTGAAGTAACGCATTCGATGCTCGGTTGGATTGAAGATTACTATCCCCTCCTACATAGGGCATCGTAGGGAATAATTCAATTATGGGCGCCTGTCGGAATAGTCCGGGTTAAAACCACCCCGAGCACAGGCGGGAGGACTAATTGTTCCTTGATAATTAAACCAAACATTAAACAAGTCTTTACAACCACACACACACATAATGCTTTGCTGCCGCAATATAAAACACCGTATCCAAAAATTAAAAAACNACGTTCGTGAATAGCGAAGTCACATCCAGAGAGTGCATTGTTTGTGATGAAATGTTAATGTTTTTGACCTGCTCGACGAAATCGAATGTGTCCTTCAAACTATAGGCGGAAATTCGTTGTCTGACGGGTTCTAATAATCGCACTAACCATTTGGCCGTTGCATGGTATGGGGAGTTTGACATATCCAAGATTGGCCTTAATGGTAAATCCGGTTTGTGTACTTTTGGGAGGCCATATAATCGTGGTACCTAGTCTGATGCGATCGAAACCAGATCGACGAACATAAATAACCGTATATAATTGTAATGGCCCGTTGATGAATTTATCGAAAAACAGCTTGTTTCGCCTACCGGACTTTGTTTTCAATGTGGCAATGGGAATTTTTCATAAAGCACCTTGTTGATCGACGGAAGGTGGTCACGTTCCATTGCATGTTTTCCCCATAAGCGGTTATCGGTGTGACGTTTCGAGCACTGAAATCGCATTCTACTCCACCTAGGTGTGTTTTTTGGTCAACCGGCACTTTGTAATGTTCTGATGAGAAGTAGCAACGGCACATTTATGGTCCTTTCTTTGTCAACTTCTGAGTGATGTGAATGGACCCACAGAATATTGGGCCCGATTTCTTTTTCAATAAAGAGCAATGCAATGCAAATATAAGATGAGGAAACTCAAATAAAAACCGTGGGAAGGTTTTTAGTGAAAAGCAAACGGAACCAAATCGCCAATATTGGTGGTTGTTGTGAGCACGAAAAGCAGTCCGACGAGGCGGATTCGAACCACCGACCTAAGGATCACTGCGAGCACTACAGTCCTCCGCTCTACCAACTGAGCTATCGTCGGATGGCGGCGGAGTCTGTCACAGCCTATAGGATACTTTCCATGCGTCAAAACAAAGATTCATTTCATTGAAAGAAGCATTGTGCGAACGTTACTAATAGTAATAATAATAATAATAATAATATTATTATTATTATTATTACATGACAAGCATAAAATGTAGTAAAAGGGTAATAACCATTTTCATAATCATTGGGAAAAATTCCTCCGCAACTTTGATTGCTGGCCCTACGCTTAAATATAGTTAGATTATCGAAATGGTCCCACAGGGCACATTTCAAACAAAACAACAGAGTGGAGAACAAGCCAGTTTTCAGAGATTCGTATTCATGCCAATACATCTGAATCTGTATCTCTAATTTGGAATAAAATTGTCTTGGGAAAATGGAATAAAATCATAGATTACTAGAGACGATTTCATCATGGGACCGGAAATCAGGTTGACCACGATCACACATTTGTCTGTCCATTCATCTGTTCAAAGAGATTACTCGTGATATGCTGTGCATGTGGGGGTGGTGTGGGCCAGGGGAGCTTTAGCGCGTGCACTAATTGTTTTTGGGCACACAGAGTGGGGTTGTACAGACGAATGCCCACCGCTTCTGCTGTAGCTAGCATCCGACAGCGAACCTGCCTCGATTATACGGGGGTCGGAAAGCCTCGGACACGTCCGCAATGTGATTTGTTTCAGCTAGGTGTCAAACCCCTGCACTGGTAAGTGACTCAATCGTTCCGGTGCTCAGCCACGCAAGGTGGTGTTCAAGAATCCGTTCGGACAGTCGCCTGACAGTGCGGCGTATGTACATTGTACCACAGGAACAAGTAAATGAGTACACAGAATGAGATCGCAGAGTCTGGAACCTTGTCCTTCGGGTGGAAATGCACAGTTGGCTTGGACATGAACAACACCCAAATCTTCGATGCATAGAAAGTCACTTCTATTGCGTCGGATAGTAAGATTAGATGAGGGTGAAAAAGTAGAGTAAAGTGTGTTTCGTAATTCCGCGATTTTTGAAAGAAAGAGGATCTGAACGCAAACGTTCGAGACGTCTGTTTAAGTCATCTGGCGAGAATGACTTAATACCTGTCGCCGGGTCTCACAGAAGAGGGATCAAATCACTAAACTATCTGATGATAACCGGGGCAAGGGGGATAGCGGGGTGACCGCGTGGGGATGGTTACAAGGTTGCCGAGTGAGTGCTAATGAGGGCAGCAAATAACACCGGTCGTTTCTGCTTCTTCTATAGCACGCTAACAGGTTTTGAAGGATTGACTTTCACTTTAACCGAAATGATAAGAGACAATTTTTTCTTCCGCGTTCCATTTCAAAAGGAATAAACGACATCTTTAAACTTTGATCGTTTCTTCATCACGGGCTGGCGAATAAGTATAATGGCACTGTGATATTAGTGATGATAATAGTAGAATCATAATACAATTTTTGTGTGTTTGCTTTGGCATTTGCGTCGAGTACTGGCTGACAACCGACAGGCTATACAGCATTCATGCCACTGAAGTCAGAGGGAAGGTAGCACCAACCGAAGCCCGTGCGGAAGCTCACTTCATATCTCTACGAGCAAAGAGATCGCGGAATGGTAAATCATGGATAGCCTGTGAGTAAAATGGGACTAAGCCATCGGAAGCTATGTTGCGCGATTTATACGTTAACAGCAGCCTACGATGGTGAATCTCGACACTGTTCACCCGACATCCCCATC